GTGCACGCACACACCTACTATTCTTATTTATTTTATTGAATTCTATGATTGGATTTTCGTGTTCAAATAAAGTTTATGATTTCTTCATATGTATGGTTTAGTTGTTTCATTCAAGTATGAGTAGGATATGTCTGGGATTGAAGATGACTAACCATACTAAGTATGATATAATAATAATGAAAAACACATAAGTTTTGAAGTTATACGAAATGGTTACTTTGTTGTATATCAAATATTTTTACAATTAAAAGCATTGGTTTTTTATTGCTTTTTTGTTGGCTCTATGTATGTGAATGAGATATATTAATGAATTTTGATATAGTTGTGAATAATAATGTAAAAATTATGAAATTATTGTGGGTTGAATAAATGAAACAATATTTTTAATATCTATCCATACCATGTCGGTATTATCTATAATATTTTTGGTGTTATAGTGAGTTGGTTTGTGAAAGAAAGCCTTATAAGAGCAATAATTTTGATTGACTTAAATTGATTTATCATATGACTATAGTTTTGTATGCTAGTTGTTTAATAGAGATAACGTGAAATCAGTGACCAATTAGAGTATTTGACATTCATAATTTGATAAGAAGATGTGCATTTTAAATTACTTGAGGAATATCAATTTGAATATATTATGAGTATGGCAAACAACATATGTGTGATTGATATGATGTATCAAGGACAGTGTGTTATTAATGATTTTATGTGTCTGAATGATGCATGGTGCAAAACAATCTATATCATGAATGTATAAGAGATATAATATCATAGTACAATGGTGGGAGAACAATCTTATCATATATATAGTGGTAATGCATATAGATAACAAAGTATTAAAAGTTGATGTGGATATGTTTACTACAAAAGTAAGTTAAAATGAAAACAATGAAAAGATGAGAGAGGACATAAAAATAGAGCATCGATATAGGCAAGCACTTAATTTATTCTGAAAGATTCATGAAAAACATGCTAATGTCAAAAAAATATTATCAATGCTTAGATTAATTGTGATGAGAGGGAGCATAAAGTTAATTCTTGCAAATTGACCAATGTTTAGATGTTATCAAGTTGGAGCATCGATATAGGCAAGCACTTAATTTATTCTGAAAGATTCATAAAAAACATGCTAATGTCAAAAAAAGATTATCAATGCTTAGATTAATTGATGAGAGGGAGCATAAAGTTAATTCTAGCAAATTGACCAATGTTTAGATGTTATCAAGTTGATTACAAGTTTAGTGATTGTTTGTTTGGAGATTTAATTGTGAGATTAATTTATGAAAGTTGAAGGTATAATAAGAGTTAGCGTTTTATGATTTTCTTTCTCATAAATGGTTAATAAAATTTATCTTTATTTGTGCAGTTTATACCTTAGTCTCATTCAAGTAAAATTTGGTTCAAGCAAATTAGCCTTAATAGATGATGCAAAACACGAGCTCCAATCAGATTGCTAGTTCAAAACAATATTTTTCATGAGAGTAGAGTCACCATAGATGATCACTAGCAGTTGAAATTATTAGCACTTCATAAGAACCTAGAAGAACAACAACGAACATAATCTTTATAACTTGAAATACACCAAATTTTTAAAATTAAAACAATCAAAAATCAAATTGATCCCTACTTAGAATGTTTTAATATGCATCTCCAATAATTATAGAATATGATTGTGCATTCCTTATTTATTACAAGCATTTCTTAAGTTTCTTACAACTTGATTTACAATGCATATATATATATAGCATTTTCTCTACCCCATCTATGCATAGGGACACTGTAAAAATACGCCACCCAAAATCATTATCTCAAGACTACTAATTTCTTAGTAATTCGAAGTTTATAGAGTTATTTCTAGTTTCTCTCTCAATATTTCTCAATCACTCTATTTTTATATAACAACTTAGATCTGAAATTACAGAAATTGTTAGTAGTTGAAACATTATGATGGATAAATATATATTTTAATTTTTTTATTTATGTATTTTTTTATTAGAAATTTTACATGAAAAAATAATATGTTCAAAATCTCATATGTATATATATATATAAATTTGTAAGGCTATGATGGAGGTGGGGATAATGACAAAAATTAATAATAGCAGTGGGCCATATTAAAATAACATATAAATATAAAATAATTTTACGGAATATACAAATTCTCAAAGGTATTTAAATATGAAAATGAAGAAAATATTTTACGCGATCGAATAATTGACTTCCCATCAAGTCATGGAATATCAACGGCCAGTAAATGTTATTCCTATTTCCGCATAAAGTGCTCCGCGATAAACTTATTTAATGCCACTGTAGCCGGCGTAATTCCCTAAGTAACTGTGCCCCAGCTCTTAAAGCTGACTCGGATTCAACTCCAATGAGCTACTCATAGCTTCCACCAATATAAAAAATCACTTTTAAGATGGACTAAGCCACACCGCACCAGCCAGAGGTGAGAGGTCCCTCCCTCTTTATATATACAAATATATCTAGTAATATCACATAAATTTTTATGAATAAAATATAGAAATATTGTCTTTGGACCGAAATAAGAAAATATAAGTCCGACTTTTAAACAATGTGAATTACTAGACCAAAGAGCTTGCCCTAGAATCTAAAATGCTCTATGTCCATGTTAATTAAGCCGTCAAGGAGGTTCGCCCGGTCAAAAAAAAAGAAAAAAGTGATAGTAAGCTGATACGCCATAAGTAAGTCGTCAAAGAAATGCACTCACTCAGTGTTATTAAGTTGTGCTAGGCAGCTAATACCACATAGTTAAGGCTTTGTTTGGGGTAGCTGTAATTTTTTAAAAAGTCGTTGTGCAAAAACTGTTGTAGGGCAGTTGCGTGTCTGTCTATTTCGTACGGTTGTGTAATAGTTGTGTTGCAGCTATTTATAATAAAAAAAAGATATTTTCTCCCCTTTTATAGATGTGCTCTTTTCATGATAAACAATCGATGTTGAATAACTTGTGCATTAAAACATAAATTATATTTAGAAATCCCAAAAAACTCATAAGTTCAAATATTAGATCTAGAATTGACATCCTTCTTAACATTGAGTAATACAACAAGTAAAAATTAAAACAATTAAAATAGCAAATAACATTTTTTTAATATTGAATTTGAAGTGCAAAAGATCAATGTTACAAGATAACTTCTTCTCCAAAGATATTCTCTACGACTGATGACTACTTGAGGTGGAATCGTTTCACTAATCCGCCCACTCAAAGATGTCACTGTCATCGGTTTTCATGGACACGTAAAATTTTCTATCATAGTTATTCTCTCTTTGAGATGTATATAGAAAACATCGCAATCCACATGTGCAATCTGAGACTCTAGAAGCACCAAAAGCCATCGAACTCATATTTTTGAAAGTTTAAAATCACAAATCATAAACAGTTAAATGAAACATTAACTAATAAAAATAATAGAGATACATGATTAAATATATATAAACGGTGGGGGGCAGACCATGGCTTAAATACTATTTTTCTGCCCTACACTTAGCCAATGTGAGACTTTTTGTCTGTGACATTTTCCTCCACCCAATCACGTAACGCCCTCGTCAAGGATCAGCTCCACCGAGGGTCCCGCTGGACCATGGAAAGTCCACACACCTGGCAGACAGTAATCTGCTCTGATACCATTTATCACCTCCCAAAAGAGCTCTTCGGGGTGGGGGCAACCTAGGACTTAAATACTGTTTTTCGGCCCAGCACCTAGCCAATGTGGGATTTTTTGTCTGTGGCATGCTGCTTATTCATCAACTCACATAAAACATGTGAATCAAACACTACTTTTGGGTCACGACACAGTGGAAACGTAGACCCAAACACACCCTAAGATATCAAAAAGGTGCTCGCTTATACGACACAATTCAGTCATCAAATTGGTATGCCAGCATGTGTTATTAAGCAAGGCTAGACAGCGACAACGACACAATTAAGTCGTCAAAGAGGAACACACATCTATGCTATTAAGCATCGCTAGTCAACTAATACAACACTATTAAGTAGTCAAAGAGGCACGCCCGTTGGTTTAAGAGTGAATTACAAGTTATTACATGAATATTAAAGTAAATTATTACATGAATATTAAATTGAAGGATGCCAAGAAAAAAAGACAATGAAGATAATATGAATATTTCATTGTGCTCAGTGTGTCATAATGGTCTTACGTAAAATGTTTGTAACGCATGAGATACCTTGCTTATAAACATAACAGGTCATTATAGAAAGAAGATTGATCCCCTAACATCATACAAGTTTTCATTTTTTCTTCCCACATTAAAGATGAATCAGTACCTAATTTATAAGATCTTTTCCTCTCTAAAGACCGAAGGTTAGCAGGGAGCAAAACACTGCTACCTTTTTGCATGGCCGCCTCACATTTAGCTTCCCATCAGTGATGTGGCGCACGAGTAGAATAGCATTATCCTGTGATAATATATATTTTTTAAATATCAGCATATTTTTAATTATAAAGACCTAACATCATACAAGTTTTCATTTTTTCTTCCCACATTAAAGATGAATCAGTACCTAATTTATAAGATCTTTTCCTCTCTAAAGACCGAAGGTTAGCAGGGAGCAAAACACTGCAACCTTTTTGCATGGTCGCCTCACATTAGCTTCCCATCAGGGATGTGGCGCATGAGTAGAATAGCATTATCCTGTGATAATATATTTTTTTTAAATATCAGCATATTTTTAATTATAAAGATAATAGAAAAGATTAGCCTGATTCATCATGTTTTCCAATCAATTTTGTCATCTTTCTAAAATCATTCCCATCACTACCTTTAAATTTTAAAAAGTAAGATACCCCTTTGCATGCATAGGTAAAATTAAGGTGCTGGATATGCAAAACAAAATAAAAAAAAAATGCATTAAATAAATTAATATAATACTAATTTTAAGTATAAATTATATAAAAAGCAAAATAATATCCAAACGGTAATTACTAATTACAAACCGAAATAAGAGATGCGCAGCAAAAGAGAAAGAAGCTGATTAGCATTTAGACAACCCAACAAAAAAAGCTTATTAACATTATGCCCGCCTCATTCATATATAGAAATCACTCTTCTTTCTTAACAATTTTTACATAACAGAGCAAGCGTTCGGGTTCTCGTCACTGAACAGCTGCGGCGCGTACGACTGATACTCCGTTGGATATCTCGGATAATAATAATAGAACTCGTTTTTCTTCAGCTCCAACACCTTCCCGCCGGCGATCCCATCCTCTGGCGAACCTCCGTCTGTCTTTTCCTTATCGTCTCCACCTTCCCTGGTTCTGAGCTGACGATGACGGAGTGCTTGCCGGTTCGCTTGTAGACGTATTCTACTAGTTTTGGAGGGTCCATTATGCCTTTCACCGTCACCTGAGAGGCCTTCAGATCCGGCTCCGCAGCCTGTACTCCTGCTTTCAGAATTCAGGTGTTATTGACCTTCTAGCCCCAAAAAAAATATATATTTTTCCTTTATAAACAGCTTAAAGGAATGATTTTTTAAATAAAAAAAATCTGATGGAGCAAATTTAATCATTAATGGACGATTTTGTGACAATTCTAGCATTTATACCTCTGCAAATGTGCAATTCGGCGGAAATTGATGAATAAAAAACAGCACCAGGGAGAGAAAATTTTGTTGAGAATAACCTGACGGATTGATTAAATTTACTTTTGAATAATATAATATTAACTTTAATTAATTACTAAATCAATAGATTTTTTTCCCCGACCAGAGCTATTTCAACTATGTTGGACATTCGAGCAAGTCAGCAACAATGGATTAAATTTAGTCAATAATCGATAACGGTATCGTAAAATGAAACAAAAACTTGTAAAAATCACACTTATTCTTAACTTCTACCCTAAAGAGGGAAAGCCCCCAAAAATTTTTTTCGAAAAAAAAACTCAAATTTTTAGCCTTTTTATACAGTAAAAATGGAATCGGATTATCGATATACGGGAAATATGAACAGATGGGTAAAATAAGGAAGGCGACGAACTGATGAGATTGGGACGTCTAAGATCTGAGCAGAAATGAAAGAAAATGATGTTTCAGCTAAGAGTAGTTCCAGCTTCCTTTTCTAATAACGTAATAACTAAGGCTCTGTACTAGAATCTCTCATAGATCCCATAACCAAAAGAAAAACCACTGCAGCAAACTTAAAGACTGCAAAAATACAACACTCGGATTAGAAAGTAAGAAAAAAATTTGAAAATAAAACAGAGTTGGCATTCAAACCTTTCATCTTCAGAATACGCTTCTTTATCTCCTGCGCACAGGCTTCACAATGCATGTGCACTTTAAGCACAACAGAGACAACAGGGGGCTAAAAAACCACCAAAATAAAACCGGAAGAACGGTGAAAAAACAAACTTTTTTTTAAATTAAAGAGAGATATATAAACGGCAGGAAAAATAGGAAATTAAAACAACCTCCTTCTTCTCCTCCGGCTTGGGTTTCTCTTCCATTTTCACTTCTTCCTTCTTCTCCTGCTTAGGTGGAGGCAGGGGAGTAAGCAGCTCAACCTTACGCCCACTTTTCTTCTGCACTCTTTCAACGACCTTCAAAGGATCCTCAGCCGCCTTCTTCCCCTTAACCACCACCTTGTGTGTTTTACAGTCAGTCAACACTTCCTCCACTCCTAAACCAAATTACCAAGCGTAAGAAAAAAAAAACACATTTTTCAAGCAAAAAAAAACGGAGAACTGGGATGTGTTAAGAAATAGAAAGAAGATATCTCGAAAAATCAAAGGTAAGTGTACCATCGAAACCCTTAAGACTCCGCTTAACTTTGCGAGCGCAGCCTTCGCAATGCATGTAGACTCTCATTAGAATTTCCTCCGGAGGAGGTGGAGGAGCTTGCTGCGCCGCCTCTGCTTTGCCTTCTTCGCCGCCTTCTTTCTTTCCACCCTCGCCACCGGCTTCTCCACCACCATCACCACCGCCAGCTTTCTTCCCTTCTTCTGCTTTAGATTTTTCGCCTTCCACCTTGGAATCTGCTTTTTTTTCATCTTCAGCCTTCTTCTCCTCCGGTTTCTTCCCTTCCTGCCCAAAACAGAGAAAAAAGCAGTTAAAAACATAGCTTTATATATATATGAGGAGGTTACAATGGAGAAGGGTGAAGCGGAGAGAAGAATGAGACCTCCCCCATTATTATCTGCACCGGCGGCGATGCTCCGTCAATGGCCACTCCTGCTTCACTAGCCCCAGGCTCACTCCCACTCTCCGCACCTTTCGCCTACCTCAACTCGCTGTTTCTTGCTGTTGTGACGGAGATGGAAATTTAAGTGGTGGACACGTGCACCGTGTGGACATCGCACGTGCCAGAAATTCTTTCCTGTGCAGCTTGCCTACGGTTCTGTGCTCCGCGAAGACAAGTTTTTGGCTTAAGGTATGGTCGATCAGTTGGTAGCCTATAGCCAAATAATTTGCAGATATCATCTATTTTTAATGGAGGGATTTACGTATAATAATTGCTTTATCTGTCATTTAAATTTTCATATTTATATTTTATATTTATATACATATTACTAAAGGCTTGTTGTGTGTAGGTAATTCTGTGGCAATAGAGTTATACATTAATATTTTAATATTGCACGAAAATTTGACATATATAAATTAAAAAAAAATTGACAGAAATAACTACAAAAATTTTTACGTGGAAAACTTCAATGCTCTGAAATAAAGAGGTCTAGTCTAGATGAAATCTTTTCACTAAGCCGAAGTAGATTACAAAACTTTACCGGCTCTTATATATCTGAAAGTAGGTGAGTCAAGCCGGTTTGGGCTTGACTTGATTAGTGACTCGTGAATCGAACTTGAAAAGCTAACAAACCAATCTCAAGCCAACTCCAAGTTCACTAGTTAGCTTCTAAACCGGTTCATTTTAAAATAATTGACGTAAAATACACTTAAAATACGCTGAAATTCAAGTATTTTATCCATAAATTATTGAAAATGTGTAAGAAATGATATTTTTTTTATTTTATATCACGTGAATTTTTATTGTCTATCATCTAACTACTCATTATTTTCATTATTTAATATAACACTACATATCCAAAAAAATGAATTTCCTTAAACACCGGAAAACCCAAATAGTTAATGGAACTTATGGGTCTAATGAATCAAGTCCACTGATCATTCACTTAATGATTTGATTCTGACCATGCCAATGGTACTCGTTAGCCTTTACTTTGGAGGTGACAAGCTACCTAATTTCTTGCCACCCTAAAGGAACCCTGATTATTCCTGCTAGTTCCTTTGAATGGGCTCGCTAAGATTAAGTCTTCAACTGAGGTCCTTCAGTCAAGCTCACTCACTATTCTCGAGTTCTTCTTCCAAGCTCGCCCATACTAACCAAATCCTCCTACAACTCGATAATAGCTGCATGGTTGTATCACCGAGCTTGATGAACTGTTCTTCAAGGCAGAATGAAGAGAAGTCCAGTCTGTCAACACACGCATAACCATCTATTTAACAATATAGCGATTTACAGTAATGATCTTGTCAACAATGAGTTTGCTCAAACTTCGTGCTATATGACATAAAACATAGTTCTATATTTCATTCCTTAAACCCTCTACGCATGCACACATGCTTTATGGCATATAATTAAAAGAAAAACTGGGAGGATCAAATCCTAGGACCTTAAATACCTCTCTTGTTATCTCTGTAAGAAAATATGTCTAGTTATTCCAACTTCTTTCATAAGGTCTTCTTCAGATTATATGAGTTCACAAATTATATGACATCTCATATTATAAAAGGATTCAACAAACACTAACATAAAAATCAAGCTAGCTAATAAGTCGACTCAAATTAGTAGAATTAAACTCGATCTTGAGATCGAACTCAATTAATTTAATCAAGCTCCAACACAAACCAAGGGTGAATCAACCTCGACTCGACTTATTTTCACCCTTAGTTGAAGGCAATATCACACGTGTAGGTTGTGACTTATGCTAGGGAAGTAGTGATGACCTAACTATTATAAGAAATTTGATGGTTGAGGTCGAGTGTCAGAAAGTCTGATAACAGTGTTGGTTGTAGCGACAAAGATAGTGATGGTCGGGCGGCAGACATCCGTTGGTAGCAATGATGGCTGACAGGTTGCGATAACAAGGTCCAACGAGAACAACTATGAAGGTCAAGCAGCAATGGTCCTGCAACGATGACCATCAAGCAGTGGAGGTTCGATGATGCCCTAATGTTGGTGGCCTGACAACGGCAATACAACGGTGTTCGAGCGATGGTGGTTTGTCAGTTGTGTCAGTTAGGCTGTGGTTGTTTGATGGTATTGACGATGGTCTGGCGGTGGCTGTGGCCAAATGATTGTTGTCTGGCGGTGACGGTAGCTCGATGACGATGGTCGAACAATGATGATTTGGAGACGATGGGAGCTCAAATACAGTTGTTGGGCAGTAGCGACAGTGTGTCAACAGTGGCGACGACTCTAGGACAGTGGTTGGGCAGTAAATGTCTGGAGGCTTTGGTGGCTCGACGGTGGTGGTCAACCAGCAGTGACGGTGGTCCAGCAATGGTGGCGGCTAGTCGGTGGAAATGATGCAGAGTTTAGAAACCCTCAAGCGCTTGGAGCATATTCAGCTTTGTCTTTCCGATCCAATTACTCCTTCGTGAAGAGAGTGGGAGATTCTTCTTATAGATTACGTGAGTGGCATGCTTTATAAATATTAATGAATATGGATCACTCCATTGAATAAATCTGATTGACCTTTTTAATGAGATGATATCTTCCAAGTATTCATTTGTCTTCATAATGTTATAATTGAATGATCTTAGGTTTTGTAGATTAATCTCTTCGAGACGCTCGATTTGACTATAAATTTATAAGATTTGGAGATCATTTTGTTCCCCAAAAAAAATGTTTCAAAGCTTCCAAGTATGATGTAAATGCTTGATTTGGGTCACTTGAACTCGAGTCCGATTGTATTTTACATCAACTAATTCGTCTCCTTGAAACCCTTCGCATAATCATAAATTGAAGTTCATGCATTACTATTTTTTTTTCAAAGAACTCGAGTCCGATTGTATTTTACATCAACTAATTTGTCTCCTTGAAACCCTTCTCATAATCATAAATTGGAGTTCATGCATTACCATTTTTCTTTTCAAACATAAATTTATCATACCAAAATTTTATATTTTATAAATATGAATATCAAACTGTAGATGATAAACTTCTTTTGTTCTTTTCATATATTTGTCAATTTCTGCCAATCTTATATTATTTTGTTGGAAACTAAATGAAGAGTTTTCAAGATATGGAATTCAAGTATTTATCTTACCCGAAAAAATTTCAATTTTTATATATCTGTTCCATGTAAAGAAATTTAAAATGATGTGAAAGATTTGATGGTATAAATGTTAAAATTAAAATATAAAAGGTAAATATATAAATACATAAGAATTGAGTGGTATACATGTAAATGTCTTTTCTGTTAGAAATATGTGGACCAACAGTACCGGCGGTGTAGAGAAAACCACATGCCTAATACGGATCATCCCATACGCGGAAAGGCTATCAGCACGAGCAGGGTACGAGTCTTTCTTGTTGCATTGGTGGGAAAAATACTTGACATTTTACAGGTATTGTGCCCGAATAACACCCAGATGTTGATTGGCTGGGAGATGCCGCAGATGGCGGGTTGATTCGGAGGAAGGCCACAGCGACGAGGTGAAACAATTAAACTGCTAGCTAAGAAAAAGAGCAGCAAATGAAAATTTATT